TCTGTATTATATATTCAGCGCAGTACAGACAGAAGGGGAAGAGGGAACAGCAACATATCATATAAAATATGTATTTTAACTGGGTGTTACACGGATACGTTGTATAGTATGTGGTAATACTGGATTAACCTAGTCGAGTTGAAAATATTAAGCACATGAGAGAAGAGAGAGAGAGAGAGAGAGAAACAAACCTCTATATTTTTTATGGAAGAGATTTCTCTATTATCAGAGATTAGGCTTATCGTAATAATTGATATATAAATTTGTAATAATATATTACAGATTAATTATTATATATTAATGTGTATAATTCTCTAATACAGATTGTGCATATATATAATTATATATACAAATTTTAGATTATCAAAGAAAGAGTAATATAATTAATAAAAAAATTAATGTAATAAATCTATTTTAGATCTATAATATAGAGGACTCTCGATCTATAATTTTACGTGCCACATAATAGAAAATATTTACACGAATAGAAAATTATGTCTATTATTTTATTTTTTTTAATATTATTGATGAGATCTCGTCATATGAGAGATACTTTGATGTAAATTACAACAAATAGTTTGACTTTAGAATGAGGTTGTCTTCAAATATCAAATGAATATAGATAGAGGACGTTAAATGCTATTAAATCAAATTGTGCAATGTAAACGCACTTCTGTATTATATATTCAGCGCAGTACAGACAGAAGGGGAAGAGGGAACAGCAACATATCATATAAAATATGTATTTTAACTGGGTGTTACACGGATACGTTGTATAGTATGTGGTAATACTGGATTAACCTAGTCGAGTTGAAAATATTAAGCACATGAGAGAAGAGAGAGAGAGAGAGAGAAACAAACCTCTATCGTTTTTATGGAAGAGATTTCTCTATTATCAGAGATTAGGCATATCGTAATAATTGATATATAAATTTGTAATAATATATTACAGATTAATTATTATATATTAATGTGTATAATTCTCTAATACAGATTGTGCATATATATAATTATATATACAAATTTTAGATTATCAAAGAAAGAGTAATATAATTAATAAAAAAATTTGAAAAACACTATTGTTCCATATAAATATTTATTTTTTAATTTGTGAATTAAAATCAAAATTCTTTATCAATTATATTAAAATTCTAAGAATGGAGTTTTAACTTTTTACAAAGAAGAAGAGAGATTTAGTTTTCCTTTTTATTTTATAAATCTTATCGTGTATAGATAATATATATTTTATTGGCAATTTCATAGATCTTATTTTGTTATTATTTGAAAGTTAAAGCTGTTTTGTATGCATTCTTTTCTGCAAATGATTTCTCGAATCTCTTTCATACACAATCTTTTCTCTCTCTGATTTTCTCCCTTTCTCTTTCAACGTATCTTCTTCATTCTCACTCGTGTGATTCACTTCTATGGTAAATATTTGCACAACTTTTATCTTTCTTCACATTTGCTCGTGTCTTGCCACGAGTAGCTCAAAGTAAACACACATAATTGTTTACTTGCACCTTCCTCAGAAATTTAGGATCTTCCGCTCGTCAATTTTCCTAATTAGCGCTAATTATTGAAGGGCGTGCATGCGGAAAGTTGTGAGCGCGAGCAATTTCGCGTACTTGAATATAGAATTCACAGGATAGTATATCAAGGAAGACCTAAAATTTTGCATGATTATATAAGACTATCACAATGTTGTAAACATTGTAAAACTAACTTTCAATTAACTTACCATTTATTCGAGATATTTGATTTTTAATAATTAAATTATATAGAGTTATTATTTGCTATTTTGGGCTAACTTTGATTATTGAGCTTGTTATAATAACGGTTTATTAGTATGAAATGGCGTTGCGTTAACCACAGAGCGCAAGACAGCATTGATTATATGGAGAACTGAATACAATCGAAAACCTCAATCATTCGATTTAATCGAATTAATCTAAAATGCAAATGTGTCTATCATCGGTTATTGAAATATTCTGATTTTAAACAGATTTTCGAAAAAAGCAGTATAATGACGTTTAGATTATATATTAAATTTTGTAATGCTGTTAAAATTCAAAACTTGACGATATGATCTTTATGAACAATTTAAAAAAAATTTTTTAATCTTTAATTGTCGGATTTCAAAAACATAGTCAGTTCTAATACTACAATCTTATGTCTGCAGAATACAGTGTCTTTAGATATGTAAAGAGCGGAAGAAGTTGAAACCACTTGGAAATCCGCAAGAGAGAAAATTATCGAGACGGCCAAACTTTGACGGTCCGTAGGATGGAATTATGTGACAGTTTCTGCAGCTTTTGTTTCGTTTCTTACATAAATTATGGATAATCCCTTTAATTCTTCCTTTCCAAAACTTATGACGCGGGAGGCGTGAATTGATTTTAATATATTAATGATAACTATAAGCTTAGTCTATGATAATAACAATTTTATAGTGAATTTATACATACAATAAAGATATAAAATAAATACGTATAAAAAATGGAATTAATAAAATAAAAAACAGTCTGAGAAATAATAATAATTAATTTTGTGTATTGTGTGCGTAATATAAATATGTAGTATTCTATAAATAAATATTGCATCAGTTAAATATTTGATAATGAATCGTAACTAAAAATTATTAAATTATTAAAAATTGTTAAATAATTAATTGTGAATTATTAAATGATAGATTTCTATGGAGGAATAACAATAATGTTAGTAAAATTGATTAGTCTTGTGTCTAATAATACTGTATAATATATTTTTATTTTTCCAAAAATAAAAAATTAAATTTTGTAGATGATAAAGTAAAAATATGTGGTCAATTATTTTTATCAATTTTATTTTATTATGATTTGTGCGGAGAGCGATAAAAGAGTTGCATAGTATTTCAGGTCACTGAAACCAAAATAAAACGGAGGTAAAAGATAATTAATGGATTTTCTGTAAAATGGCTTTAATAATTACTTCAATAAAATATATAGGATGGTAAATATCTACATAAAATGGAACTATATAAAAAGAGAACGATTTTTAAAATTATTTAAAAGTAGGAAAAAGAAAAAATAAAAAAACATACATTATTATAGTTTCGAAGTCATAATTTTAACGTGTGATGTTAACTTGAGAAAATATGTTTTTGTGATCACTTGTCTAAGAAATACGTAAGAACAATTAACGTTTCGAATAGTGGGCATACCTTAAGGATGGCTCACGCCATAAATAACGGCCGACGTGCTAGCTAAATTCTAGTCCGACCCAACTAGAACGTAATTAGAAATTCGCCGCGAGAATCATTGCCAAGTACCAAGCTGATTGGAATTTTATAGCGCGCTACAAATTTAAATAACCCCAATTTCTTTAAAACGAAACAATCAATATTTGTTCAAAGCATTGTCAATTCTTTCATCGTATAATAATTATACAAATAATGAGTTTTAATTTAATTTCGGAATAATCAATATACAACTTTTATCCATCTGTAATTTGAGAAGAATGCCTTTACAAACTTATATTTATATGACATTGTTTCACTAAAATCATTACTGAAAATCATTTGTTAAGTTTGGCCAGATATTTTAGGAATATTTTATTTGAATTGGATTAATAGCCATTATTGCGGGGCTCACTTTTGCGTCGTAAAATCGAAGAGGAAACGAAGACGATTCTTCGTCGATTACATCCATTGACGATCCGATTACTAATTTTGACGTGTAAGCCAATATTTATCCCAAACTCTAGGCCATCCCACCGTATAACTGTCGATATTTATAGAGAACAACTCTTTAATACCGGCGCCGTACCGGTGTCAATCGCCGTTCCGATATACCCGTGAAATCGATAACACCATTCTTCGTTTATCGGTGATGCGAGTTTTTTGATGATCTCCCGATAAACTTTTCTCTCGCAAAGCAATCAAAGTTACAAATTGGATTTGTATGACGAGCGACGCAAACAAGCGTAATATGAAAATAATGTGAAGTATTAAAGAAATGGTTAAATAAGAGATTCATAAGGCCACAAACCATGATAAGTTTGATAAAAAAATTTTAATTATTATTATCAGTAATATTAATGCTGTTTAATCTCTTAAGCAATGCGTTAAATAACGTATAATGCTTTTGTTTTTGTATCATTCAGTTTTTCATAAGTCGAATTTAACGCGGTTATTTTAAAGTCCTCTGCGGTAAAATGATATATAACACACATGTATTATTAATTTAACAAATTAAATTTATGTGGATATGTATATATAAAATGTGTAACGTTATCTCACAATTAAATTTTTGGCTTAAGAGATCGTTTAATTGTTTGATGCGGATGAATTTGTTTTAAACATGTTGTTCGATTAAAATAAAAATATGTAACTGAAAAATGCAAAGAAAAATAAAACAAATAACCAGTAGTAATGACTATGATGATCATCCAAATGATACGCGAGCGTGTAGATACATAGCTTTCTAGTATCAAAGGAAAATTCGCGATCGCTAATTGGCGCGTCGTGGATTAATTAACGCCTCGCAATCCCATTGTGCAACAGTTCGTTTTCTACTTTCGTGAAATAACGCATAAAACTAACGAGATCGTTAGCGACAACTGGCATTTTCGCAGAATTAATCGATCTTGCGCCGATTAATTGAATTAATCCGTCATTTCCCTTTTCATATTCTAAATTTATTCTTTTTTTTTATTAAAAATTGAAAATTGAATAAATCTGTATTAAATTAATAATTTTAGATATCCGCGAGATTAACTTTTATCACAGAGATAATACTTTTTTTATTCAAATAAATATTTTCTGGAAGTTATATATCTTTCAGTAGACTTTCTTTAAGCGTGCATCTTTTTACTGTATTAAAAATAAAGATGGTTTTTAAAGTAATCCTTCGCACGAATTTGTAAAAAATTTATTTTGATTATTTTTTACATTTTTTATATTATTATTATTTAAAACTGCAAGAGGAAACTACCACTTGAAATTTCTTTCCTCTCTGTTTCAGGCGATGAAGATGAGCAAAGTGGGCAACCAAACCAATTCGCAGGACCCACAGGCGGTGAATTCACGCGTTTTCGTCGGAAATCTGAATACATTTCAATGCAGCAAAACCGATGTAGAACGAATGTTTCAGCGCTATGGCCGTCTGGCTGGTGAGTATATTACAAAAATTGTACTTTGTAAAAATATTTTAAACTGCTGAAAGAAAAACGTTAAAAATTAAACTGTCAAAAAGCTTTATGTATTTAAAAATCTGTTCCAAAAATATGATTGGCGAGTTGAATATGTTGAAAAACAGAAAGTTAGAAAATAGGTTGTACAGAAATGTAGCTAAACAGTGTGAATTTCTAAAAACGCTTGTCAAAAATAATTTTTAAAATATAAAAAAAAAGAAAAGTAAAATATCTTTAATATATGATAGATTGCTAAAAATAGAAGCCTTAAAAATCTGCTGCATAGAAACGGGCAATTGAAAAAAAAAAAACAAAAAATTTATATACGATTTATGTTATACGATCTATTATTTTGGAAGAATTTAGAAAATCATTATATTCACACATATTTCTAGAATTAACATTATACATACCAACAAAAGGAAGATTCGATTGTTGTGCAAAAACTTTAACTAAGTTATTAAAATCTATACTTTTATTTCACTTTTTTAGAATTAAATTATGTATATATTGAAATATATAGCAAATCTGAATCTAGATGGGCAGTTTTTCTGATTTAATTTATCTTATTCACAATCTTAATTCAAGTTTATATCAAAATCTCGTGGAAATATTTCGTGGTCAGGCAATTTCACGGAGTAGCAACTTTTTTTCGATCCTTTCGCGCACAAACGTTTATCCTGCAAACTATGAAATCGATTTCGTTGCAAAAGACAGCAATATTAATAAGAATAAGATAGCAATATAAGAAAGATGAAAAGTGATTGTTGAAACGAGAGAATCGTTTGATCATTTCCGAATTTGTTCTCTATTCTTTCGGAGATTCCCGGTAAATCGAATCGCGTGAGAAATCGGCGGCCTGATAACATTCGATAATTCGCGATCGAATAACTTATTATCCAGCGCGGAAAAATTGCATCAGGAAGAATGGCGGAAGGGGCAGCGGGACTTCTGGAAAATGGGATCCCGGTAACGCAATTTGTGCCACGGCGACTTGACCTTCGATAGCTCGAATTGGATATCCGTCGGTCTCCAGTTTCAGGAAGAATGGCAGCGGGACTTCTGGAAAATGGGATCCCGGTAACGCAATTTGTGCCACGGCGACTTGACCTTCGATAGCTCGAATTGGACGAATTGGAGTCTCCAGTTTCAGGAAGAGC